GGGGGGGAAAGGAAAATGAGCTGATTCTGGGAACCCAAGAGGTAAGCGAATTTTGGGAATGATGTGAGCAACAAATGTATAGATGTGCTTTACACAATTGATCTATGTATTGTGATGAATTTTATGAGCCCCAATAAATTGATTTTTTTAAAAAAGGATTGTACAAATCACTGTTCTAGAAAATATAAGGAACAGAAGGTGAAAAGAAAGAGCGCCTAAGACATCCCAGAAAAACTGTAATCCCTGTGATAGCAAAGGATTTCCATTGCCTGTGCTAACTACTATATGTTTTGGAAAACTACCTATGTCTCCTTGGTCTTTGTTTTGTTTCCATCCTTTTTGCTAATAACATAAGCACCTCTCTCTCTCTCTCTCTCTCTCTCTCTCTCTGCCATTGAGTCAGTTTTTACTCATAGGGACCATATAGTGTAGAAAGTCTCATCTTTATCCCCTAGAGGGGCTGGTGGTTTTGAACTGCTGATCTTGTAGTTAGCAGCCCAACACATAACCTACCATGCTACCAAGGCTCTTTACCATAAATGTTTATCATTCCTTATATAGACCACTGTAAGGTTGCTACGAGTCTACAATCAACTTGGCTACAGTGGGTTTGGTTATTTTTGTGTAGGGGGTAGGTTTTGGGGTTTATATAGCATGTTATTGTGGGAATGAATTAAACTAGCAATTTTAGTTTAGCTTTCTTTTTTACATCCTAATGGCAACTACCAAGCTCATGTCATATTTTATGCTCATAAACTTGGTGTGGTTCTAAAATAAATGGACAATTACAATTGTTTCCTTAGCTCAACTGTAGTAGTGCCCAAGCTTCAATATGGTCTACATCATTGGGGTAAATTTTCTCTCTTGATTTTTACAAACTACTTATAACTTATTTTATAATACTTCATAAATGTAGTTCTTTTCTGGGTGGAAGAATATTTTGTAACTTCACAAAGAATCCACAATATAAATAAACTGTGTGATAACATTGCTTAAAATACTTTTAACATTAAAAGTATCTAGGTCTGATAAGCCACAAAAGAATTACCCACTTTTATGACTTATTTGAAGCTTTTTAATTGACCTATTCCTCCACTGAAAAGCTGTTGGAATAAGTAAGCCCACAGGGCTCCTTAGCAGCAAGGACGGCAAGACCTGGTCTTACACACTTTGCACATGTCAGGAGAGGCAATCCCTGGAGAAGGTCATCATGCTGGGTAAAGTGGAGGGGCAGCTAGAAAGAGGAAGGCCCTGGAGGAAATGGATTGACACAGTGGCTGCCACAACAGGCTTGGGCAAAGGGACGATTGTACAGAGGGTGCAGGGCCGTGAAGTGTTTTGTTCTGTTGTACACAGATCACTATAATCTGTAATTGACTGGATGGCACCTAACAACAACACCGTTCAAGAAAGCATTCTCTTATTAGGGAAATAATATATAGAGAATAGACTGGAGTTCTATATTTTAATTTCACTGTGCAGTAGAACCCCAAACCTCATGCTAATCTATTCTAGAAGGAGCATCGAGATGCAATGCAATCAAGTTCCGAATCCATTTTTCCCATAAGAAATAACTGAAAATGGATTAATCTGTTCTCGACTACCAAGTTTTTACCCTAACCTTGCCTTTTTATACAAAACATGACACAGAAATTTCAAAGTAAATAAATGCAGGGTTAAATAATACAATTTAAATAAGAAACACAACATTAAGAAAGGTTTCTAACCACTACAGGATGGCCCACACCTTGAGACTGAGGAGCATCTGGATCCGTGGCGCGGATGTGGAGAGGCTTGGAGGGAGAGTCATTGTTGGGAAAGGGAACCCCTTCCATAAAAATTAACTGGTAGCTGCTTTTCAGGAGTTTTTCCCTTCTTTGCCTTTTGTCACTAGGACCTGACTGGCTTTCTCAAAAAAAAAAAAAAATCTATCAAATGTGGTCTGCTGTTGGCGTTTCCTTAAATGTTTTCTAAAAGGGTTTACTAAATTATCAACAATATCCCTAACACGGTTAACCAGTTTCTTAGCATGATGATACTTTTAAAAAACTCTTAGGACCAATGTTTTTTATCTAAAAACTGAACAAAGCCACAAAAACTAAGAAAATTATATCAGAACGCTTGGAGCACAGCAGCAAAAGGTTAACACATACTAACACCAACTAACGCCGAGTGACCAAAACACGAACTAGTTTGTTTACAAAACCACGTGCGTGGGTTGATTCCGATGTTTTCTTGGAGCTCCGATGCGAAATGTTCTTGACGTTTCGCGTGGAAATCCGATTATGTCGAGGACTGAAGCAGTTGAGGACCAGGGTTCTACTGTATTTAGGTTTGTATCCGCTTTCTCAAGGGTGCTGTGGTGGTGTAGTGGTTACACATTGGGCTGGGACCCACATGGTGTACAGTTCAAAACCAACCAACAGCTCCACAGGAGAAAGACTGGGCTTTCTACTCCTGTAAACAGTGCCGTCTCAGAAACCCACAGGGGGGTCCCTATGAGTCAGCATTGACTGGATGGCAGTGAATTGGGGCGTTCACTTTTTATATACTTTCTTATGTTTTTGATAACAGCTTTCAAACTGTAGATTTATAATGAAATCTTGGTGATGTTAGTACATGTTTAAAATAATCTGTATGATATCCAGAAATCTAACATATAATGCCCATTTATCTTATACAGACTACTGTAGCCAAAGTTGACAAGGTTAAGTACACTTAAAGTATTACCTTCTGTCTTTTTTTTTTTTAATCATTTTATTAGGGCTCATACAACTCTTATCACAATCCATACATACATCAATTGTGTAAAGTGCATTTGTACATTCATTGCCCTCATCATTCTCAAAATATTTCCTCTCCACATTAAACCCCCGACATTAGGTCCTCATTTTTCCCCTCCCTCCCCGCTCCCCCCTCCCTCATGAGCCCTTGATAATTTATAAATTATTGTTTTGTCATATCTTGCCCTATCCGATGTCTCCCTTCACCCACTTTTCTGTTGTCCGTCCCCCAGGGAGGAGGTCACATATAGTTCCATGTAATCCGTTCCCTCTTTCCTACCCATTCTCCCATTACCCTCCCAGTATCGCCACTCACACCACTGGTCCTGAAGGGCTCAACCACCCTGGATTCCCTGGATTTCCAGTTCCTATCTGTACCAGTGTACATCCTCTGGTCTAGCCAGACTTGCAAGGTAGAATTCGTGTCATGATAGTGGGAGCGGGGAGGAAACATTTAGGAACCAGAGGAAAGTTGTATTTTTCATCGTTGCTACATCACACCCTAACTGGCTCATCTCCTCCCTGAGACCCCTCTGCAAGGGGATCTCCAGTGGCCTACTAATGGGCTTTGGGTCTCCACTCCGCACTTCCCCCATCATTCACTATGGTAAGATTTTTTGTTCTGATGATGCCTTATAACTGATCCCTTCGACACCACGTGATTGCATAGGCTGGTGTGCTTCTTCCATGTGGGCTTTGTTGCTTCTACCTTCTGTCTTACTGGCCCTCTTTTTATCATTCATATATGAAGTAGAAACCTTCTTACCGCATTTTAGCAAGTATAAGCAGTCACTGCATCTATCATAGCAGGCTGGATATGTATTTCTTCCCTTACCACCATGACACATGTCAATAGTTCCTTATCTTTCACTGAGGTCTTAGTTTGTGAAGTTTCTAGGCTTTTCAAAACTGAGCCTTGCTAAATAAAATATACCCATAATATTATATTTTTCCTTTTTAATTATAAAAACGTGATTTCCTGCTCATTCAAAATTGGATTATTTCTATAATTAAAAATGGTACACTAAAAAGAGCACTTTTAAAAATTTTAAATGGCCATCCTAGCTTTTCTTTAAATTCTGTCTATATAATATAGATCTCAAATTTCCCTTGTAAAAAAATACTTCATAGGAGATTGGATCAATAATAAAATAAGTTCTAAGTGAGCAATATTTAAATTGACAGCCTAGAAATTTATCATTTAATGAAATTTAATTACATGCTATGGGGAAAAAATGTTATGGGTGATATTTTATTTTCATGTCCACTCTGAGAGTGACAGTGGTGCTGCACTTTTGCTGAGCAAGAGTAAGAACGGCTTTTTAAAAGCCACATAGCATTCCTATAATGCTACGAAAATGATAGCGCAACGAGAACTTGAGTTCATTTGTTTACCTGTCCACTAACGGATGATGGACTGCCATGGAGGGACGCTTTGGGCACAGGCTCTTACTACTTCTGAGCCAAAAGATTTAGGTTGTAGAATCAAACCCAGCAGCTTAGTTACATTAAAGAATATTTTAACAGCCTAAACCACTCAACTTTTTGAGAATATTTTCTTACAATTACTTGAAAATAATTTGTTGTTGGATATTCTATCACTGGAATCCTAGTCAACCGATCCTGAAACAATCCTTTTTCATTTGCCTGGTATTTTCCGCATTTGTTTTTAATCCTGTGTTTTATTTTTCAAGTTCATTGAGTAGATACAAAAGCATTTTTTCCCTAAAACTTCTGTAAATTTTGAGTCCACACAAGTAAATGTATTTTTAAAATATAACCCTAAAAAATTTACATATAAAGTGTTTTCCTTAACTTATTTTCAGCAATTGTGTTCTTACATCAATATATTTCCATAATACTTTGATTCAGCTATATAAAGATTGCATTACTTTTTTCTTTCCAGATATAAAGAAAAGAAGAACTGAAGTGATATGAAAATTCATTTGTACCAAAAAAATTCTGCTTAAATTGTGAGATTTTGTTCTTATTTTATGGATAATGTAACATAGCCATAATTGCAAAAAAAAACTTTACTGATAAAAGATCAATGTCTTAGCTTTTCATTGTTAAGATTCTTTTTACTGTGTCATGGTAAAAATGCACAGACACAAAACTAAACACTCAGCCTTAGGCTCAGAATAGTCTCAAGAGAGCTCTGAAGTGACCAATGATAGCACATAAGGGACTTTTCGTTAATAGAAAATGTCTGGCCTAAAGGCATCTTTTTTTCCCATTTGATGTTTTGAAGAGAACCTCATAAGAATATTAATTTGGAAACATTAACAATTTGAGGTGATTTTAATACAATCTATTTCAGGCCAGTCATTTAGGATTTTTAGCTTTGGTAACAAAGCAACGAAAGCCACGCATTCTTAACTTGGATTATATGTTTTTAGCAGCCTATAAAAGAAACATCTGAAAATACTTATTAGTATCTGACCTATTATGCAGAATATTCAAAAAATCTAATATATTTATATTTGTCTACCCTACATAAATACCCAAATACTGCTTGGAAAAAATGAGACTTAGGATTATGTTATACAGGCCATTTCCAACCATTTGTAAAAATAGTTTTCAATTAAAATAACACATTTAATATGCTAATATTTTCTGTGACAATAGCAAAATGAAGATAAAACTGCAAGAAATTCTGTTTAGTCAATAGATTGTTATGCCTTTGCCCTAGTGATGATGCGCCTTTCTTTAGAGAATGGCTAGTTTAAAATCTGAGCTCAGACTTACTTGCTTTCACATATTGAATAGTCACACACCTCTACAAATTTTTGCCAATTATTAATTTTGATAACTTGGTTTAACTTAGTGCTATAGTCCCTTTCTCAGTAAGTTTTCAATGTATTTCTCCTCTGGGTTTGCTTTGCTCTTGTCTGGTATAAGAGCACATTGATTTCCCGATTTCTGTGCTTAGCTGGACAGTTTTAGCTTGGCGTTAGGCTCCACCGCAGGTAACTCCGCTCTTAGATGGTCTCTGCAGACGAAGGACTAGAAGTGCTATTTGCTCTCCTTATGTTAGAGAACTAGTTCCATGACATCAGTTACATCCAAAAGGCTTTATTTCAAAATTTTCATAAACTATCTTCTAGAGGCTGGTTTTTATGTGGATATTTTATTAAGAAAAAAATTTTATACTGAGCCATATGACTGTTAATATTCATTTTATATCCAAGTAAAATACCTCTTCCAAAATGGTATGAAATTCAAACCATCAGTTTCCATTCCATTAATCTTACATATTTTCAGTACTTTGCTTCTAGTGTTTATATTTTCTTTTTAAATGCCAAAACAGCTTCTTATGCATTAGTTCAATTTAATTAATTACATTCCAATATTACATCATAAAATCAAACAGAACTCAGGCCTAAAAAGTTTTGCTCTTTATATAAAATGCAGGATGTTAAGGTGTTGTACGTTTTTTCTGTAAAATAAACGCCATAGAAATTAAAATATAGAAAGTTTATGCAGTAATTTCAATTTACTAGAATTGAAGAGCCTATAAAAACCTTCATAATAAAAGCTGTAAGAGCACCCCCCTAAATTTTTTTTTTAAAAAAACCTTCACACATACTTTAGCAAATAGTTTTAAAGGTGATCTGAAATATGCTGTAGCGGGTACATTTTATAAGATATCCATCTCTGTCAGCAAGTCAAAATCGACTGTGCAAAAACCCTGAAAAGGCATCCATTGTGCAATATGGTTTGCATTTACAGAGTTCTGAGAAGAAATCATTTAAAACATAAAAATCTAACTTGTCTTGGCCTCACAATTAACAAGGACTTGGACACTTTCAACATTTAAAAAATACATTTAAAATGTTAGGAGACCTATATAAGTAGGTTTCATCACACGTCTTTCAAAATGTAGCCCAGGATCAATATAATTATAATAGCTACATTCCATTTTTAAAATGTAAAATATGACAATGAATATTACTTATGTAATTCTTAATAAAGTCTCCATTTAATTTTTGGAGGTTAGAATATGTCTCCACTGTACTGTGAGATAGAGCTTATTAGGAATTATCCACAATGTGACATTTAACTAATGGACTGCTATTTATTTTGGTAACTGGAGTCAAGGACATTTAACCTAGCTTCTGTACACTTGTTAGGAAAGATGTCATAAGAATACAGCAATAAAACTTAAAAATTGTTAGTAAAATATATCTTAATAGTTCATTTGCATTAAAACTTTATGTATAAAATGACAAAGTTTCAGTGTTTGAGACCTCTAATAAAGTTCTCTGGTTTTGTTACTATAATAGTTACTTCAAATAAAACTTTTGACTATATGCCTTTGTTTAAAGATAAATGTGTGCTTAAAGTATTCATTAGTAAAGGCTAATTTCAAAATATTGATTCATGAATTTATAATAGTGTGCTCTTGCTTCAAGAACTGTTGGAGCCTATTAGTTGGAACAGTGTTCTGAAAATAAGAAACAAATTAGTTAAGGAAAAAGAAAAACAGATTAGACAGTGTTTCAATTTTTCAACAATTTGCAAAAGATTGTACCCATCTCACAACAACGGTAGGTGTGTTTTACAAGTTTCTATTTTGGTACTCATCTGCTTCATAATCTAACTATCCAAACGAATCCAAGCACACTGCTGTCAAGCCGATTCTGTCTCATAACAACCCCGTACGACAGGGTCAAGCTGTTCCGTGGGCTTTCCAAGGCTATCAGTCTTTACAAAAGCAGCCTGATGCATCTTTCTCCCATGGAATGGCTGGTGGGTTTGTACCAACAACCTAGAGTAGCAGATGAACACTTTAACAAGTGAGCCACTAGGGATTCTTAATCCAGCTCCAAGAAGCCAATGTCTTATCTGGAAACACTAATTGATATAGTTCAATTAGTGTTCTAATTTGGATCTTCTATCTTCAGATCTTTAACTCTTTTATACTACTTCCTTTTCCCAGTGCCCGTCAATATACAGTATTTTTTCCACAAGCAGTGTCCACCTAAATAACATGCACCCACACTTACAAAATGCTTACAAAAATGGTGCACTGGAAGAAGGGGTGTGTGGTTGGCAAAAATATATATAGTGTGCACATTTGTATAAAACTACAGGATGCTCAATGATTGATCATGGTATGTTATTTTTACAGAAGGTTCATCCCATGCAGTTATATTTTAGTATAATTGTATTTGTATTTACTCCCGCCATCGTATTATGGTTTCGCCACCATATTTTTCTTTAGCCCCCCCCCCCCCAACTCCCTTTTCCTGTCTTGTTGGGTTGACACTGATATTATTCATTCTGGCACAAGCAAGTACAGGGACTAGACCCATCAGGCTGACCACAACCAAGACCTCACTAATTAGAGTTGCTCTGTATTCTGGTAGCGCTCTAATAGCAGGGAATTGCCTCCAGAAGACATTTATGCATTGAGGAAAGCAGCTTTATAGGCTAAATCATAAACCTGACATCCCCATAATTGTAGGCTTCACTAATGCAGACCCAACACTGCCATTCTACACCCAGTAGCGTGGGGGAGCGAAAGATCCAGGAAACAACTCCTACTGTAATGCCCAAGATGGAATTTGCTGATGAATGTTTGTTTCTGTCACCTGCAACCCAAGCTACTTCGTGAGTTTGAGCCGACACACTAGTTGGAGTCCTACAACCTGAGCAGTTAGTGGTTTCAGTGCAGTTTCAGCAGCTCCCAGAGCTGAAGAGTTATGTTGTTAGATGGCACCCCGTTGGTCCCAACTTACAGCAGCCCTGCAGCCCACCGAATAAAATACTGCCCAGTCCCATGCCATTCATGTCCTCCTCTAGGGACTGGTCTCTCCAGACAACATGTCCAAAGTATGTAGATGAAATCTTGCTATCATTGTTTTAAAAAGTTTTCTGACTATACTTCTGCCAAGTCAGATTTGCACATTCTTCTGGCAATCTATGGTATATTCACTATTCTTTACCATCATTCAAAAGCATCGCATCGTCAGTCTTCCTTATTCATTGTGCAGCTTTCGTACATTTGAGGTCATTCAAACTACCCTGGCTCAAATCTTAGACCTCAAAGTGACATTTTGCTTTTTAATCTTTGAAAGGTACAAAAGGCCTTGTACCTCAGAGCCCACGTTTATTAGCCTATGCCTTCATCAGTACTCTGACATCAACTTAACAATCAGACTTTTCATGGCCCCTCTTAAGTCCGTAAGTCTTTCAAGAACAATAAAGCCTACTTGCAGAGTAACTGGGATTTCAATGAAACCTTAAGAGAGGATGCCTATTCCTTTACCTGCCTACCCTTGACCTCCATATAGTCACAAATCTTCATACATTTAGACATCTGCAATGCCTAGTTTATGAATTTCACTGGTGGAAGGGCCCTCTACTAGATAATGGTGGCACTTAGCAAACACATGACCTACAACTTCATGATTTCATAAATAGGACTGATATCTAAATAACCAAGATACTCCATGAACATCTGATCTAGGTAGTTCTATACCACCTCCTCCAATACTCTAAGAAATACTCAAACATTGATACTTGTGAGCCTTACAGCTACTATTTTGGGGAAACTTCTTTCTGGTCAAGGGTCCACAAGATGGCTCATAAGATACTAACAGTTCTAAGGTAAGGGGATCTTCCTCAGAAGAACCCTAACTCCAGGGAATGCAATTCTGGGACCAACTTCTCCCACTGAAGATCAATTACCCTACTTAAAACAAAATTTCTTCCATCAAGGCTACCTTCAAAGTTTGGTAGCTAAGTGTCTAGTGACAGCATGTATAGTGTGCTCATACAAGTATATCTTTGAACAGCTACAGAACAGGCATGGGGCCCACCCATTTTAGACCTCTACAAATGACCCTTTCCTAGAAATGGTTAGGATGTCCTCTTTTAGAAGCACATGCTCGCTAGTTTTAATGGCAGTTGCCATTCTTAAAATGCTGGATCAAATTGAGCATACCAGCTCAGTACCCACATTATGTGCCACCTATAGAGAATCCAAATAGCCCACCTTCTATACTACCCCCAAAGTCAATAACATGGACCCCTCTCCATTCAAAATTACCGTAGTAATACATATCCTCCCCGAATTGCTTGGGCCCTCTAGTGTCATATTTTGATAGCCAGTTAAGTGCCTGCACACATGACACTCCATTAACACCCACCCTGTGGCAAACCAAGGTCCATTGCACGGACCAGCACTGGGTCATGGGACAGATCACTCAAGGAGAAAGATCACATCTCCACACATGGTAGGAACTGTCAGGACTGCTGAAAGGGCACTTGAGTGGGTAGAGGGGACCACCCCACTTTTTTACCAAGTCCTTTGCTCTTATCTATGTAGACACATCCATCTTTCACCACTCTGTCCTACCCAGACCCCACAGATACCATACCCCACGCTATTTTAAGCAGGGAGTTGAAATAGGTCTCATGGAAAGCCAAGAATTCCATTATGAATAGAGAGGCTCTGGAGGGTCCCACCTTTAGAATTCTTGCAAGCAGTCTTTTCTAAGAAATGCCTCCAAGTAAAGCCCTGGAGCTGCATGGTGCCACCAAAAATAAATGAGGGAACTACCAGAGTAATAGCCTTTCGTTGCCAACGTGATGAGCCTTTTCTGCTTGCTTAAAATGGAAATTTCCCTAGCAAGTTCTCATTTTAACTACTGGCATAGGTATCCAGTCACATGAGATACAACACTAGCTTACTGGGTGTGTGTTATTGCATAAATCCATACTTAACATCTTCTCTGTGATGTTCTCTTACGAAGTCTTAAAGAGATCACTAAGTCCAGTTTGAGATTTCCTGGAGCACTGATCCTGTCTTCCCTTCAACCAATGCAACAGAGCAGGCATGAATAAGGTACTTACAAGCTTTTAAACTTTATTAAGTTCATAGGGTAAAGGGCAAAACCAGGAGAAACTGGAAGTAGATGTGTCCACATTTATAATCACTACACAATTTCTACATTCTGTTACCAACTAAGACTACAGTGACATGAAGAAAATCCTGCCCGTTTGAGCTGTTTATAGATATCCTATAACCTAGTGCTACTGAAGCTTACACTTTGTTAACATACCAAGTACCTCAAGCATTTTTACTTGCTAGCTTGCTAAAAGTTTAGATGTCATTTTTCAGTAGTTGAAAAGAAATGAGGATTCTGGGTTTTTAATTGTATCCTGTAAAAGCACTAGTGGTTGTAAAGAAGTCACCCCTTATTTCAAGAAAAGCAATAAAAACGCTGTAAAATTAAGAATGCCGAAAATGTAGTCTAACTTCTGAAGCCTCAATGTGGAGGGTTTCTATGTGAGGGCAGGGCCATCTACTGGTTAAAGTGTAACGTTACAAAACACAGCTAAAGGGCTCAGAAATCTAGGGAGACATGGGGATAAGAATTCAAAGCCTGGGATGAAGAAGGGCAAAATCCTCTGGCCTAAAGCATGAGTTCTTAAAGCTTCAATAACAGAATCTCTTTTTTAAGAGGTGACTCTTGGCAACACTGAGGTAGGAGAGCCAACGTGTAACAAAAGGGTGACTTAGAAAAGTTGATGTCACAGACCTAAAGCACAGCCGCCGCCACTCTCCTAAAAGGAGTCACTGCATTCATTTGCCCTGGACAAGCTCTGAGAGGTAGTCTGGGCCAAAAACTAACTTGTAGTTGGGAAGGTATGCAATGAGAATGAATAGTACTAAACCTGTTGTCTCTAACCTGCCTTTCCCCTGGAGACATCCAAAAGACACTGGTGTGCAAGGGCAGTGGTTAACAGGCAGAGACGCTGAAGCCCTGGGGGAAGAAGCCAAAAGGCTGCAAACCTCTTTTCACAGAGACAAAGCTTTTGAGGGTACTTGATACTTTCAAACTAGTATCTTTTCCTGAAAATACAGAATACAAAGTTTAGTTTAGTAAACACAAAGCCAGTAAACAGAAATTCTAGGTCCTGTGGGCTTTTACCATCCAAGCTCTGGACTGGTCCAACCTTGGAAACAAGAGTCCAGTTTCAGGTCCTAATGTCCTCCCTTCAAAAGGGCAAGGGTGTCCATAGAATCGAGACAAAAAAGAGAGGTCTCCAAGGCCCCTCTCCGTGGCAGAGACCCCCAGCCTTGACAGCAGTTTGTCAGCGAGAGTTGGAGTGACTGGCTGGAGCAAAGTTCCAAAGACCCGCAAACATTCCATGGCCACGTGAAGCACAGTACCCAACCAGGGCGCATCCGCTGGGCTCTCCCAGGTCAACTTCCACGGTGCATGCCTCTGGACAAAGCCATTCGTCTGCCGAACACAGCTGGACACTGCCTCCAGAGCCTTATAGATCTGAAAGTTATCATAGTAGTCTGCTACCTGTTTGGGCAGAGAAGACACTGCTCTGACCAGAGCATAGTCCTCCGCTTGAGCACGAACTGATGGTTCCACCCCTCCAGGCTGGCTGGGGAAACAGGCAGGGCTGAAGGCCGGGTAAATCCCAAAAGGATTTATTCTCTTGGCAGTGCATCGGTTCAAGAGACCTCCCAGGGCATCTGCCAGCTCAGAATCCAGCAACTTAACCACCTTTTCATCATAGTAGTCACAATCCCAGTTGGGGACCCCCTGACGAAGAAGAAAGTAGCGGAAGCCGTCCACAGTGTAGCGGTCAAGGCAAGTCCTAGGGTCCACCACATTGCCCAAGCTCTTGGACATCTTCTGGCCACAGACCGTCCAGTGGGAATGGACATAGATGCGATGTGGAGGGCTCATGCCTGCCCCCATGAGAAGAGCAGGCCAATAGATGGCATGGAATTTGAGAATGTCTTTGCCTATTACATGAGAGGTGCTTGGCCACCAAGACTTGAACGTGGCATCCGGATAGCCGATTACAGTGAGGTAGTTGACCAAGGCATCAAGCCAAACATAGATAGTCTGTGAATCGTCTCCAGGAACCGGAATGCCCCAGTGCAACTGGCTACTCCTACGAGACACAGACAGGTCGGGCAGCTCCTCCTCTAGCCACTGTAGGACTATGTTATGGAATGTTTCCGGGCTAATGGCTTGCGGGTCGCCCCGCAGCCACCGCAGAAGCGGCTCCCGGAACTGGGAAAGCCTGAAAATGTAGTTTTCTTCCCTGGTCCAGGACACAGGGTGCCCACTCTCCAGGGAGACGGGGCACGCTTCCCCAGCAGGGCCCTGCTGTCTGGTGACCTTGGCCTCAGGCAGGAAGCACTCGTCAGATGCGCAGTACCAACCTTCATAAAGGCCTTTGTAGAGCAGACCCCGGGCCCGCAGCACCTCCCAGAAGTGCTGCACGGCCACTCGGTGCCGCCCCTCGGTAGTGCGGATGAAGTCGGTGGAGGCGATCCCAGCCTCCTGGAAAAGCTGCTGGAACTGGGCAGAGACTCGGTCACACAGCTCCGCTGGGGCAAGGCCCATAGCGACTGCCGCCTGCTGGATCTTCAGGCCGTGCTCGTCGGTGCCAGTGGAGAACCGGGTGGCGGCGGCGCCAGGAACCCGGAGAAGACGGTGTCGGCGGCACAGGGCGTCCGCCAGAAGCGCCGAGTACAGGTGCCCAATGTGCGGCGCCGCGTTCACGTAGAAAATAGGCGTCGTGAAGTAGGCGCGACCGCCGGGTACCTTGTCTCGAGCACCGAGAGGACCCGAGCAGTAGTGGCGAGGACCAGAATCCTGAAGGAGCAACACCGTACGGGAGGCGGTGCATGCTAACAAGCGGCGGCCACGAATCCGCAACATGGTCGGGGTGGACCCACACCGGCTCGCGGAGCCCGGAGGCGGTGCTTTAGGGGCGCGTGTGCGGGGCGCATGCGCAGTGAGAGCCGCGCCGCGCCTTCCGGCCCGAGAGCCAATGAGGCCGGGCGCAGCTCCGTCGCTCCGTGGCTCCGCCCCCGCCCCGCCCCACTCCCGCCCTCGCCCTCTGGCGGTTTGAGCTTGAGAACATTCCTTAGCTAAGGAGCCCGAGGAACTGGATTCGGGTAGAAATAATGAAGATAAATGCCTGCTGTGGGCAGCTGCTCTCCGGGAGCACGTGGAGGCTTTCCACTCCCGTCACGATCTAGTCTCTCGTTCTCGCAGCTGCTCCTACATTTGAGCCCATTGTTGCCGCCACTGTGTCAACCCATCATGTTGAGGGCCTTCCTCCCTTTCACGCCCCTCTGCTTTCCCAAGCAGAAGACCCTGCTCCAGGGACTGGTCTCTCCCGATAGTAGGTCTGAGGTGGCTGAGAAGTCGAGTTGAGCTTGCTTATGAGGAGCATTCTGGCTGTACTTCTTCCAAGGAAGGTTGGTGGTGCTTTTGGCAGCTACGCGATATTCTTCACCAGCACCACAATCCGAGTGCACTGACGTTTCACTGTAGTTTTCACAGGCACAGGAGGCGATTGAAAATGCTATGCTTTGGCGTCAGCCACTTGGATCATGATGTTTCCTATTGGTCCAGTGTTTTGGATTTTGGTCTTCTTCACATTGAATGGTAATCCATACTGAAGGCTGTAATCCTTGATCTTTTTCAACAAATGGTTCAAGTGCTTACTTTCGGCAAGTAAGGTTGTGTCATCGCCATAGTACGGGTTGTCAATAAGCTCTCCTCCATTCTGGATGCCATATTCTTCATTTAATCCAAGTTCTCTGATTATTTGCTCAGCATACAGATTGAATAAGTATGGTGAGAGGATACAACTCTGATACACAAACCAAAACCAAACTCACTGTCATGAAGACGATTCTGGCTCGCACGGGCCCTACACAGGGTGCGTTGCGCTTGGTAAATATGCGGCACAAGACCTATTTTAGTGTTGAAGAGCAAGGAGGTTACTTTGAGAACTAACATGCTCCTGACCCAACATAAGATATTTTCAATGGCCTCTATGCCCGTTGGACATTGAATAAGGAGGACCAGAAAAGCATTGATACACTTGAATTATGGTGCTGGCAAAGAATCTTGAAAGTATCATGGACGGCCAAAAGAACAAACAAACACTCCGTAGAAGAAGGATGGTGCCTTCACCTCATGTACTTTGGACATGTTGTCATGAGAGACCACTCCCTGGAGGACATCATGCTCGGTAAAGTGGAGGGACAGCAAAAAAGGAGGCCCTTGACAAGATGGGTTGACACATGGCTGCAACAATGGGCTCCGGGGTTTGTAAGAATGACACAGGACCTGACAGTGCTTCGTTCTGTTGTACTCTGGGTCCTGTGAGTCGGAGTCAACTCTGTGGTACCTAACAACAACAAATCTTTATGGAAACACATAGCCTCATCTTTCTCCTGGGGATAGACTGAGGGCTTTAAACCACTGCTGACCTTGTGGTTTGCAGCCCAATGCTTACCTAAGAGCGCCACCAAATTTCCTTTCATATTTGTTCTCCAAACTAAAACCAAATTCACTGTCAAGTCAAATCTGACTCATAGCAACCCTACAGGACAGAACTGCCCCTGTGAATTTCCAAGACTGTAACTGTTTACAGGAATAGAAGGCCTCATCTGTCTCCTGAGGAGCTCCTGATGGTTTTGAACTGTTACCCTTATGGTTAGCCCAGTGGGTATAGCAAAGTTGGAATATAGAAAACACTTGTGAGGATGTAGAGAAATTGGAATACTCACCCGCTGCTAGTGGAAATATAAAATGGTATCACTGCTGTGGGAAAAAAATGATTGTTTCTCAAAAAATGTAACATAATTCCCATATGCTTCACAATCCACTCTTAGAAAATATGCCCCAATATTCAGATATTTGTATATCAGTGTTCATAGCAACATTATTCACAACAGCCAGAAGGTGGAAACAATCCAAGTGACTGTCAAAAGATGAATGGATAAAATATAGTATTACCGTCGAATATTACTGAGCTATAAAAAGGAATGGAACTCTAATACATGCCTGAAACATGAAAGCATTGTGCTACGTTAAATATGTCAGGCACAAAAGGACAAGTATTGTTTGATTGAATATATGTGAAACTGTTCTAGAGTAGGTCAGTTTAAAGATTCCAGGTTGCTATCAGGGCTTGGGACGGGGAGTGAGGAAGGGACAGACAGGGAATTATGAATGGGTATGGAGTTTCTGTATTAGATGGTTAAACGTTTTGGCAATAGATGGGTTTGGTGGTTGCATACTGCATTGTATACTTAAAATGGTTAAAATGGACGAGCCAGTCAGGGTGCAGTGTAGCACCGATGAAACATAGAACTTTCCTCTAGTCTTTAATACTCCCCCCCCCCCACTATCATGACCCCAATTCTACCTTACAAATCCGCTAGACCAGAGGATGTACACTGCTATAGATAAGAGCTGGAAACACAGGGAATCCAGGACAGATAAACCCCGCAGGACCAATAAGGGGAAGGCAGGGGGAGGAAGGGGGAACTGATCGCAATGATTTACATATAACCCCCTCCCAGGAGGACAGACAACAGAAAAGTGGGTGAAGGGAGACATCGGTCAGTGTAATACATGAAAATTTTTTTTATAAATTATCAAGGATGAGGGAGGTTGGGGGGGAGGGGGGAAATGAGCTGATACCAAGGGCTCAAGTAGAAAGAAAATGTTTTGAAAATGATGATGACAACATATGTACAAAAGTGCTTGACACAATGGATGGATTGTGATAAGAGCTGTATGAGCCCCCAATAAAATGATTTTTTAATGGTTAAAATGATCGATTTTATCTTAGATGTTAAGGAACCCTGGTGGCATAGTGAGTAACATGTTGGGCGGCTAACCACAGGACAACAGTTCAAACCACCTGCAGCTCAGTGAGAGACATGAGGCTTTCTGCTCTCGTAAAGAGAGACAGTCTCAGAAATCCACAGGGGCACTCTACCACTCCACTAGAGTCACTATGACTAAGAATCAATTCGATGGCAGAGAGGGAAAATTAATTTTGCCATAAGAAAAATTTTAATTGCCACTTTGGGTATGTTATGTTAAGTCAGACAAGTTTACAATGAAAATAATATGTGTCCAAAGGAAAGGAAGTTATTGATAATTGCAGCTGGAAATGTGAGACTGATTTCATTGTGTTACAAGATGTGTTCAGCATTGTTGGGCTAGTTTCTTTTCCCATTATTGTTTTTCGAGTCCTTAAACAAACAAAAATAGAAAACTCACTACCTGTATTAGTCTGGGCACTTTAGAGAAACAAATCCACAGAAACTCATGTATAAGAGAGAGTTTTATGTAAAGGTTAAGTGCGCATCAAGAAACTATCCCAACCCAGTGCTGCCCAAGCCCACAGTCCAACATTAACCCATATGTCCAACACCAATCCACAAAGTCCTCCTCCTTCTCACAAAACAAACACAACGATGCCGACTGCAGGAGGAAAGCAGAGTCAGTGAATGTGTAAACATCTCAGTGCTGGCAGGGGTCAACACATGGGTGCTGCAGCACCCAGGGCTGCATCGGGTTAGGTCCATGTGGCTTCTCCTTGGGGA